GATCCAGAGGAACAATGTTCTGCTGATCTGGAACATTTTACTTTTTTGTATTTACAAAAAACTGACATTTATCTTGTTTACAACCTACGTTTCTGTAGCACAACAAACATGTATCCATGATCCAAATACTTTACAGTAAGATGGAAAATTTGCATTTACATCCAGGCATGGTTTACCCTTTAAGGATTGTCCAAAAACTGCGTCTTCCATAACGAATGTTGAAATTAATCTTGGTGTGCCCCAAAAATTCTGACCCCCTAAATTCAGAAATACATTCTGAGCAGAATATCTCAACATTTATTAAGAATCCAATGATGTGTCTTCCATAATTATCTTTGATGCGCTTTGATTTTAATCTTGCCGGCTTGCCCCAAAAATTCCAGCCATAAATTCAGAAATACATTCTGAGCAAAGAAAGAGTTTTTAAGAATCCACTCATGCGTAGTAGTCTTGGTTTTTGTGCACACCTAGTTTAAAAAAAAAAAGAAGGAATGGCTGGGGCTTGACGTATCCTGACACCAAGCTTGGTAACGTTGGCTCTTGGATGTGGATTTGTTTTGTCTTTTTTATTAAGGAGAACTGCAGCTTGGTTGAAATTGATATAACGTATATAATTGCTATAAAGCCATTTTGTAAGTTAATGTGATTAAAAAATTACCTTTCCATTTCAATCTAGTCTCACTGTGATTTACTATAAGTGGTCTTCCTTGTAGCCAGGGAACAAAGCATTTTGCTCAAGAGCCCTACTGGCTCACCACCTCTCCCAAAAGTCTCCACACAAAGCTTGAGGTTAAAGGAGAACTATGAGGAGTGCTTTTCACTCACCTCATAGTTCTAGCCGACCTGTGACAATTAGACTGTCACAGGTCGGCTCAGTAGATCGGGAGGTGAGAGAACACATACTGGCGTTCGCTCACCTCTCGATCCTGTCACGGCTCTCTGCCTTGACAGGGGAGGGGCTGGATTCCCCCCTCCCCGATCCGCCAGCGCTGATTGGCGGATCAGACGGGGGAGGGGGCGGGGAATAGCTGGCTCTGCCTCTAGATAGGCAGAGCCAGCTGTCAGGCACGCAGCTGGGCGGATCCCGGCACAATTGTCGGGATCCGCTTCAGCTGCAGCGTCTCAGTATATAGGGAGCTACAGCTCGCGGTATACTGAGCCTAGGGTGACGGGAGGACGCTAGTTTTTTGTCCTCCCGTTACCCTAAGGAGAACTATGGGGAAAAGCTCTAACCCCATAGTTCTCCTTTAATATTCAGGCAGCTTGTTGGCACCCCAACCAACATCCATTGGTTTTCTGCACCAAGAGCAGTGGCAGAACTACCAGGGTCGCAGAGGTCACAGCTGCGACCGGGCCATGGAGTTCCGCCACTTAGAGGGGGCCCAGGACAGGAGGACGGGGCCCCTAGTAACCGCTGATTACCAGGATATTTAATATCCCGGTAACCGCTAATATCAGTACCGGGGTCTCTTCCTCCTGTCCTGGGCCCCCTCTAAGTGGCGGAACTCCATGGCTCCTCATGTTTCACTGGCCCCTCCCTTTTAGAATGTAAGCCCTCAGGGGCAGGGCCCTCCTTACCATCTTGTCTTGAATTGTATTGTGATTGTAATGTCTTCCTTATATTGTAAAGCGCTGCGCAAACTGTTGGCGCTATATAAATCCCGTATAATAATAATAATTGGTTTTCTGCACCAAGAGCAGTGGCAGAACTACCAGGGTCGCAGAGGTCGCAGCTGCGATCGGGCCATGGAGTTCCGCCACTTAGAGGGGGCCCAGGACAGGAGGACGGGGCCTCTAGTAACCGCTGATTACCAGGATATTTAATATCCCGGTAACCGCTAATATCAGTACCGGGGTCTCTTCCTCCTGTCCTGGGCCCTTCGTGCTTCACGCTGCTCCCCTCACCTTGTTCCGGCCGGGCGCAGCATGAAGTATGATCGAGCCGGCGCAGCAGCCAATGAGTGGAAAGCGGGGCTATTCCCGCCACCCTCATCACACAGAGCAGCTGCCAACCATAGAGCTGCCTGTGTGCTATCGAAAGCTCCAACTCCCCGCGTATGAGAAGCCTGCTGCGGACATGAAGGGGGAGATATAGACAGCTGGGAATATGAAGGGGACATGTGAGAGGAGAGTGTGGGGTCAGGGAGCGGAATGCTGGGGACGTGAAGGGGGAGATGGGGGGAAGCTGGGGACATGGAAGAGGAGAGTGTGGGGTCAGGGAGTGGAGAGCTGGAGACATGAAGGGGGAGATGGGGGGAAGCTGGGGACATGGAAGAGGAGAGTGTGGGGTCAGGGAGCGGAGAGCTGGGGTAATGAAGGAGGAGGTACTCCTGACCCCTGCATTCTGTGCATTACACACTCCTGACGCCTGCACTCTGTGCATTACACACTCCTGACGGCTGCACTCTACGCATTACACATTCCTGACCCCTGCACTCTGTGCATTACACACTCCTGATGCCTGCACTCTGTGCATTACACACTCCTGACCCCTGCACTCTACGCATTACACATTTCTGACCCCTGCATTCTGTGCATTACAAACTCCTGACCCCTGCACTCTGAACATTACACATTCCTGACCCCTGCACTCTGAGCATTACACATTCCTGACCCCTGCACTCTACGCATTACACATTCCTGACCCCTGCACTCTACACATTACACACTCCTGACCCCTGAACTCTGCGCATTACACATTCCTGACCCCTGCACTCTGAGCATTACACATTCCCGACCCCTGCACTCTGCGCATTACACATTCCTGACCCCTGCACTCTACCCATTACACACTCCTGACCCCTGCACTCTACCCATTACACACTCCTGACCCCTGCACCCTGCGCATTACACATTCCTGACCCCTGCACTCTGCGCATTATACACATTTGACCCAGACCAGAGTAGGCTCAGATTTGATTTATTCAGGTACTTTCAGACATCTTGTAATGTCTGGTTATGACAGGTTCACTTTCTTTAACTGACTGACAACTGGCTCAGAGTCACAGACCTCGGGGGATGTGGGTATGTCCTGAGCAAAGAAGTAATTTCAAGATTTGTTCTCAATCCTCATAAATTTGCAGCTTTTGTTAAAACAATCTGGTGATCCTGCCATGAATGTACTTGTTCAGGCACTTCCTGTTATGAGGTGACAACTGTCACTCCATTGTGTGCCTTTGTCCTCATGGCCCCCTGGGGAAAACTGCAAGCAGCCATGACAACACACATTGTGAAATCAAGGTTCCCTGTTTTCACCATTAGTAACTGGGTGCCTAGCAATAATGTGACAGTGAAACGGCTGGAGGAGATCAGCACCTCTGTGATGGATGAAGCAATGAAGGTGGTAAAAACAAGTATTTCATGAAAAAACATGGCAAATGATTATAATACACAACACTTTAGCATATTAAATGTTTTTTAGTTAGAGTTTACACTTAAAGTGGCCGTGTCAGTACAAAAAAAAAAAATAATGCCCCAAAAGGTTTACCTAAAAAAAAAAAGAGAATGAATACTTATCTCTCCCACCGACCG